AAAGTTTAAGGCCCAGTGTCCCAGGCCTTCACATCCAGCACCGCTCACTCCCTGGCTCATCCAGAGTAACTTCCAGTCCTGCGAGCTCCATTCGTGATAAGTTCCCTATACAGGTGGACCATTTCTCTCTCTTATACCATATTTTTTACTGTAATTTTTTATGCTTAGATATGTTAAGATACACAAGTACTTACCAATGTGTTCCAATTGCCTATAGTATTCGGAATAGGCTGTACCAGATAGCCTGGCTGTGTAGCAGGCCGCACCATCTAGGTTTGTCTCAGTACAGTCTATGATGCTTGCACAAGGAAATAGTCTAATGACTCGGCACAGAAGGATGCAGTGGATAAATGATAAAAATTATAGCTATGCTTAGCTTTATTGGTTGGTTTGGTGATTTAATAAGAAGTCCTTTCTTTTCTGTTTCTTTTTCTTTTTTTTTTTTTGAGACAGAGTCTCAAGCTGTCGCCCTGAGTAGAGTGCTGTGGCGTTGTAGCTCACAGCAACCTCCAACCTCTAACTTGGGCTCAAGCGATCCTCTTGCCTCAGTTTTTCTATTTTTAGTAGAGATGGGCTGTCACTGTTGCTCAGGCTGGTCTTGTGTGCTCAAGCAGTCCACCCACCTGGGCCTCCAAAGTGCTAGGATTATAGGCATGAGCCACTGCATCTGGCCAAGAAGTCCTTTTAAATAACTACCAAGCTTCTGTTGAGCTGTTATGTGTGACTGTCCCTCAGCACCTTTGGGTCTGTGGTAACAACCTGGCCAGGAGGCTGCTTTATCAGAGACCTAGTCACAGCCCAGCTGGGAGTGAACAGCCAACCAGATGGGCTGGTGCAGGTGGCCTAGCAATGGTGCTGGTTCTGGGGCCTGGGAACTTTCAGGGGGAGTACACACCCAAGGAGAGTGGCGATTTTGTGAGACTTACATATTTGTAGCAAGTATGACTATGATTCCACCCATGCATTTTCTTTAATTCAAATTAAACTTGGCTCTGAATGCTCCTCCCAAATCTGGAGATTGATATAAATCTGGAGATGGATTTATTCTAAGATGTTGCTGGTGTGTTCCTCCCCACCAGCAAAACCACCACCACTGTTGTTGCTGCCACACAGGCCGCCACCACCTGCAGAGGTCGAACAATCTGGGAGGCTAACGAGTGCTTAGAAAAGAGCCCAGGCTCCTGATCTTAGTTTCTAAGTTTTCTGACAACAAATGGGAGGTCTGTGTCTGCATAGAACTTGAGGCTTTGTACCCGTGGGGTACAAAGTCTTGGGGAATTTTGCAGACCCAGGACCCCCTGTACTGAGTCCCTCTTTGGAAGCACCGTGGAGCACCAAGTGCCTCTGAGCTCCAGCACCTCCCAGGGATGCTGCTCGGAGAGGGCCTGAGCCCAGGCTGCACGCAGCCCACGGGCCGCCCCCCTCTTCTTCCTCTCCCAGCATCACTTCTTCAATAGGATCAAGGCAGGATCTGAAAAGACAAGTTAAAGCTTTCAAGCAGCTTCCGTATTCTGCCTGGTGGCTGGGTCTGTGGGAAATATAACATACAGGGCCTCACTAACCTTTTAAAATCTGGGAGGGAAGCAGGAAGAAGGAAAATATCGAGAACTCAACGCAAATTAATATCGCAATAAATCATCTGGCGGCCGTTCATTATGCCATTTATAGGGCGTGCAGAGAGGCAGCAGGGCGCGGTGATTAAGTGCTTGTGATGCTGGTTCTCGCTCTCCACGTGACCTTGCTCCAGTTTCCTCATAAGTAAACTAAAGATGATCACAGTAGTTAGTACTGGTCCTACACTGGTGCTGGGAGGATCAAATGAGTTAAGCCGCAGACCGTACAGTGCAATGCTGAGACCAAGAGCACTCTGCAAATGTTAGTTGTTGTTATTGTTGTGCTTCTAATTTCGCTGATGCAAATACCCGCCCTCCCTTGCAGCACACTTCCGAAGCAGTGCTCCAACTTCTGTCTCCTTTCTCAAGGCTAAGGATGCCTCCCTCGCCACCAGCACTAAGCGAGAAAGGAAGGAAAGAGGAGATGAGGGCCCTCCCCATCTTGTATTAAGTGTGCTGACCTTTGCCTGTCCAGATGACCCACACTCCCAGGAGAAGGAAATATTCTAGCTGTGACGATGATCCTAACAGAATGATTTCAGGGGTCTGTGGGGAGGGCAGTGGGAGGTGTGTTTGCAGATGGAGCCCGGCACCATTATAGGTGCATGTCTTGCCGTGGGAAAGAGCCCAGGTGGACCCGGGGTTTCTCCTGGTGCTTCACCTGGCTTTGTCTCTCAACTCTGTAAGCATCACTTCCTCGGAGGTGTCTTCTCTGTCCCCACTCCGATTAGCTCCCAGCTGTCACTCGCTCTTCCACTCCCTTCTCCTTCACTTTTCGCCTTTATTCAGTTTTCAGCGATGGACATTTGTGTTCATTTCTTCAGCATCTTCTCCCCCAGTAGATTATACCGCTTTAGAGGGCAGGGATTAAGCGTGTTTTATTGACCAGGTACAATCACCTTAGCTCTAACTTTTTAATCTATTAAATGAGGATGGTAATACTGCTTCTGCCTACCTCACTGAGCTGTGAAATTAAAAAAGATAATACACGGGAAGCTTTCCTGTAAATCACAGAACATGGTGTGAATTTAGTCCTGCTTAGCGCTGTGTCTATTTGAACGTCCATCACAAGCTGAGTATTTGTGAAATGAGCTTTTAGCCAGACGAGCTTTTTGTTAGAGCAGGCAAAAGAGGAAGGTGGTCAGAACAGGATGCACCCCGTGTTGCTCTTACTGTGTGAAGTCAGAGATAGCAGCCCCCGCCTCTGAAGTGCCACGTTCACTCAGTCCTTCCTGAAGGTTTGAAATAGTTAAATAGGAGCCCCTGGGGTTGGAGATGTCTAAACAATATGGAGTGAATAACACAAAGCCTTGTGTTCGGTTGGCTGGGGAAGGTTTTGGAAGCTAGTTCTCAAGCAAGGTGCTCCTTTCCTGAGGGTGCTCCTCTCCCACAGAGAGGCAAGGGCGCCCACTGTGACCTCGTCCTCTGCTCCAGGGCAGTGAGACTGTGGGGGGAGGGAAGATGTTTCCAGAGGAACAGCTACAGCTGCCAGCATTTCTCGGAGAGCAGACGGGAGGGGCCTGCATTTCCTTTGGTTCAGCCATTGCACAGATATGTGCAGTTCATTTCTGGAACAGGAGAGGTGGAGCCGGAGAGATGTAGTTAATGCCTACCCTGTTGCTGGCCTGTGGTGCCTCTGCTTTTGATAGATGAAGCAGGAAATATGAAATTATCCATTCTGATGGCCAGTGAGGGGCAGGAATCAGATCGGATTGGACCACCCTCCGCCCACCTCCCCAAAGACCTCTTTTTCTTTGTTAACCCACTCTCAGCTTTCGTACTATTTTGTTGACACCAGACTACACTGGGTAGTCCACATTGCTGGTAGGCGTAAGACTGTGGTTTAACCAACGACTTAGTAAGCTCATAGTTGCTTTGCACATTTCATGGTGCCCCCACCTCTTCGAGGACACCAGCTTCCCTGTGGTTGGAGGAGAACCTAGTTTTCCCCAGATGCTCAGCTCAGGCCTGAGTGAAGCTTTGCTTACTGTGTCTTTACATGGTGGTGACTTTCTTGAACAGACACAAAGGCGAGCTGTGACTCTAGAACAGATAACAGGTCAAAGAAAATAGAAATGGGACCTAGGATGGGGGTGGCAGGTAGATGGGCCACCTGATCCTCAGGAGAACAAAGCTGACCTGTAGAGGCAAGTGAAGGTCTATGAACCAAGGCCAAGGTTGAGAAGGTGGGATAAGCAGAGTCACACTGGATGACACAGGAGGAGACCGGCTGAGGCCACAGCTCAGGGAGGGGAGCATGAGAAGGAGAAGCGCTGCAAACCTGTCCTACTTTAAAATAAAATCTTCATTTGTTAAATGAATGAACTACTGGCTTAATTATCTGATTTGAGGCCCAGAAAGACCAGGGTTAAGTTTACCGTTGTCTGCCGTGGAAGCGTGGCCTCAGGAGGGAAGCAGGAGCCCACCCATGTTCTGGCTTATATTCTCAGGGAGGCAGGATGAGGTGCTGACACCAGGGCTGCACTGGGGGCCGCAGAGGCTGAGTAGCAGAGGAGTCCCAGGGAAGTCAGCAGGGTATTAAAATAGATCCCTAAGAATGAAAGTGCAGCCTGCAAGTCAGTAGCGCGGGAGGTGGAGGCGCGTGTGCTCTTCTGCTGAGGCGCCCTGGGCTCCGCAGAGGACACAGGGGAGCTTTGTGCACCCTGAGCAGGGAGCCAGCTGCCACTCCTCTGTCCCCAGGTCGCCGCGCTCCAGCAGCATGCAGGGGCTGCTGTTCACTCTCGTCCTCGCTGGCCTGGCGCAGGTAAGCTCTCCGTCCTTAGGGTTCTCCTCCCGGAGACCACAGCCATTTTTAGTTCCTTCGTTTTACAGAATGAAGGTGGGGAAGAGAGGGGATGAATTACCTAACTGTGGAAATACTGCCTGAGATGGAGGAGGCCATTTTCCTCCCCAAATAAAGATCTGCTGTGGTTCAGGAGCTTCATGAAGAAAATATGAAACATTTCTCCCTTTCAGGCACTGGCTCTGAAACTTGCTTCTGCCGGGTCTGAGCAGCCCCCCGGCTTTCCTCTGTATTTGTGCAGGGGAGTCTGAGCCACAGCACCTCCTCGGCGGCCCAGCCATACACAGGGCCTCTTCATGCCGGCTCCAGGCCGGGGCTCAACTTTCCAGAGTTATTTGCAAAATGTGCAGAGCTCCTGGAAAAACGGATTTTGACAACAACTTTTTTTCTTTTTACCATTTAAGCCTGTCCTTATTTGAAAGGAGCATTGGGGAATAAACATTCCCAGGTTTTAAACATTCTATTACTTTGTCTTAATTCGTTGAGTTTCTCACTTGGTGAAAGGGAGTCAGTCTGAAAGCTTTGAAATATTTCAAACCACAGACCAAAGGGAAGTTTAATATGAGACATTCATTGGCTTAGTATTTTTAAATAAGAAGATTAAAACAGGATGACTTATTTGTTGGTTTATTTACATGGTGGAGGTTATTGTTGGCACAGGGGAGACAGCTTTTGAAATCTTCTGGTGACTTAGAAAACATAGACTCTTCTTGGGTTAATAGTTGTTTGGGGAAGTAAATAGTAGTTGCACCTTAGAAAACAAGGATTGGAAATCATTATACTATATATATATACACACACATACACACACACAGAGGGGGCCATTATACTATATATATATACACACATATACACACACAGAGGGAGCCATTATATATATATATACACACACACACACAGAGGGGGCCATTCTACTATATATACACACACATACACACACACAGAGGGGGCCATTATACTAT